AATTTACCAGCATCCGGTAGTTTCCGGTGCCTTCACAAGATTCCTTTAAGCCTGTTTCCCCAAAGGAAAGGCAATTAGCACCAAGCAGGTCAATGCAATGACCAGTTAGAAAATCAACATATTTCATCTTTTGTAATCAAATCAATCAATACAAATTACAAAAATCAATAATGCTGGGGGTTCCTGCAGCTTCAAGAACTGAAGACGATGGCCGGCCTTGGCGTGGGATACCATTTTCCACAAACCTAATTTGTTGCTTCACCAAACAATGAGGAAGCTATTTACAACATAGACATTCTTGCACTTGCTTTGGATACTCGTTCCAGTTTCTTGCATTTCAATACAAACCAAATATTACTGGTGTCAGTTGAATTGGAGCTGTAAGTTTATTTTTTCAGACCATTCAAAAATGTTGGAATACACTTGATCTCCACCCAAGTCCTCTCCTGTAGCCCCTGCTGCTACTCGTATGATGTCCTCAATCAGTGCAAAGTTCCCCATTATGTCAACATGAGCACCACTTTGCGTTCCCCGTCCCTCCAGTAGATTGGCTGGGGTGCATGAGAATACTCCCTGATATAAGTACGGAATGCCTGAAGGGTTGAATCTGGTTTTTCCTCGCCATCCTTTTGCACACATGAAACCTGCACTTAACACGGAACTGTTTCATCTCCATCAGTTGAGAAGACTCCACCTTTTAGACAAGAATGCTCGTTTCCTCCTTCTGCTGAGGTGTCTATCTGAAAGAGAATATAGCACTCAGCAGCAGGAGTTAATTTGTAGACATATGCTCTCTTTCTGTAGGGATTCCAACTCCATACATTGAATAGATTTCCATGTCTGGAGCGTTTGGTAACCTGCAGACTCAAAATGATATGTTACTTGTTAAGGCGCGGAGGGAAGGGAGTAGAAAAGCAAACCATTTTGATAATCTTAGCATATAAAGTTTAATAAATTGTTCATAAAATTTCAATGAATCAAAGGAAATCACATTGATTTCAGCGCAACACAAGGTCTTACTGAGAAAAGAATCTTACTTTGTTTCTGAGGGGTTTGACTAATATTTGTAGTGTTCATACTTTGGGTCATCCAAATTATCAACTATTCCATGTGAAAATTGGGCACCTCCCCCTGCCATCAAGTTGGGGGCGACAAAATGAAGCAGATCTAGAATTGATTCAGCAGTGTAAACTTTGTTATCAGCAACAGCTCTTATACCCTCAAAACCCATTTCATGGTATTCTGTCCACACTTCACAGCGGCTGCTGTTTGCAACCTCATTTCCTTTCACAGCATTCTGCTGATAATAAACAATTACATGACTACATCCAAGTCCAAGCTACAAAATGGAGCAGCCAATAATCTCATAGCAAGCAGAAACAACTCAAATTAGATCTATCATGCATTTTAGCTAGTAAAATTACCAAATTTTCATGCTCTATTACCCATACTTAACATACATACATATAGACATCCATCCATCCATCCATCCATCCATCCATCCATATACATATACATAAACACACATAGATCTTGCAAACTGTTTATATGGAAATAGCTAAATTCTAACTTGGACATTACCCTGAAATTGACGCTCTCAAACTTGGAGGAATGTAATTCAGCAACGTCTTTACCAAATGAGATAATCCTCCCATAATTCACATTCTGTGTGTTAGCAAAACTCTCATTTGCATTTTGATTGTGGGTATAATTGTTCTTCAACCTTTTTCCAGCACAGTTAAAGCCTCTTTCAGGTGACCAATCAAGACCAACCCAGATTGTTTCCCCACCTTTTGGTATCATTGACATGGTTGAATCTCAGGTACGAGTCATCTGCATTATATGTAGTAGAGTTTGGAACCCAAATACATCTTTATCCAAAACAGCTGGTGCAAATGACCTGTTTAAGGATTCGTTTCTCATCAGGTCCATGCAAATTTAGAAATCCAAAGGCATGCTATGAATGACCAACTACCTTATATTCATTGAGTTAGTCGAACATGAGATATTGTTGGAGGTGTAAAACACGGATGGCGGTAGACAAAACAATTGTGAAAGATAATGTCTACAGAGTTTTTGGAAACAAAAAGTAACAACAAAAACTATTGGGATTGGCTCAAGTGGTAAGGATGGATGAGAACCATGCCTAAGAACATAGGTTCGAGTCCCTCTCTTGCTATTTGGGTGCAAACAATTTTACTGGACCACACCTGCCATCCTTAAAGGTGGAACTTTACCTAAAGCTGGTGGATGAGGTAGTTTGTAGGTATCTATGGCATTAGTTAAGTTAAAGGTCTAGATACCTTGTTATCCAAACCAAAAAAAGAAAAAAAAGAAAAAAAAGGAGTACAGCAAACCTAACATGAAAGAAGGGTAAGTTCATTGACTGCTAGAGATAAACTATTCTAGTTTTCTCCCTCTGGACCTACACTATTCCAGTTTTCTCCCTCTGGACCGACTTATTAAATATGAGCTTAAGCATTTTCAAAAAAAAAAAAAAAAAAAAAAAATATATATATATATATATATATATATATGAACTTAAGCTTTCAAATTAAATATGAACTTAAACTTTCAACTTAAATAGTTCTTGACAATGACACTTACAAGTAAAAAAAATCAAATCAAACAGGACCAAAATGATTTTTAGAACACATAGACACCACTAGTTTCCGTAATTCCAGCAAATTAGCAGAATAAATCCACTTTCATAATTGAAATCATTTAAAAGAAACAAGATATAACTAAAATTATGAATTTTTTGTAAAATTGACACCTTACAAAAGTAATACATTTGACAAACGAAAAAAATGAAATAGATTAAAACAAAAAAATCTTGAGAATCGACACTCAAGAGTCAAGATACTAACACAGCTATAGTGCATCATATCTAACCACAAAAACCAAATTGTATTGAATTAATGTCCTCCAAAGAGAGGAGTGTTTGAATCCCTATAAGTGGGAAAGCATAGGTTTGACCAACAGCATCAGAAATTTCATACCAATAATCAACATAGATCACATTAGGATCAATAAGTCTCAGAAAAAGATATCAAAGCCCATATAATTGTTTCAAAGAGATACCTAGCAACAACAATATCTCTGGCTTCAACAGAAAACAATCCTGTGACAGCTTTGGGAACACCTAAAAATGGCCCACCAATGTTCACTACTGCCTTTATATGATTAGCACACCAATTTGATCCATCCCCACCACCCATTGGAGCCAGTGCCTCGACTCATTTCATGAAGTGCAGAAAGTGCAAGACACCCATTGAATGTGGAATAACAACCACCTTTCTACAACTATTTGTGGCTACCATGAGTGTCGTGCTACTTTTTATCCTGCTTAGAGTTTGGTCTCTCACTGAACAATTATGTTAGGTAGAAAGTTCGATGATAATTTGAGGAAAAAAATACTATACTTTCCATTGTAAAACAGAAAATTGAAATGAAGAAAAATATAAAGAGAAACATGTGATATATGAATAATAACATAGTTTGCAGAAATAACTCCAAGGGAAGTGAAGTAACAAAGCTAAATTCAACCTCTGTGTTTTGAAAAGATAATCTCCAATCATATGCAGCCATGTACATTGTTTTCGCCTCATACCCAATCCAAGCCAAATTGGCAATTAAGATACCCCAGACAAAATAACCTGGTGCGAAGTAATTAGCTGCTACAAGTCCAGATACAGGCCTGACCCTTATACTGGGGGGGTCAAGCCCAGTTTCATTGTCTAGTGACATGTGCTCTACCTAACACAATTAATGGTCTGCAAGGTAATGGATAGAAAAAGGAAGAAAAAGAATCTTAAGTGTTAAGCTTCACAGATGAGACAACTATTACATGTAGTTAGAAGATAACAAACATATGTGAAGGGAAAAAAACAATACTAGATCCAAAAGAGCACTTTCCATCCCCTTTAATTGTAACTAAATAATCTAAATCAGAAGTTAATCTTCTTCAATATATGTTAGTAAAACTTATGTGTACCCAAAAAGACAAAAGAAGAAATTGAAGAATAATAACAATTATGAAATGGAAAGGTTGATCTTTTTCAGTTCTATGAGCAACCCAAAAGTTATAAACTGCACTACTACTTGAAACATATAGAATTAAAGTGCCAAGAAATGATCAGTTCAACATGCCAATGACGGAGGATAAATCCAAGTCAAGTAGCAAGGTGTGTCAGATTCCATAAACACCTAATGAGAGTTGAAGACTTTAAGTAGGTTCTCAGTTGGCCATGAGACAATATTTGCCATAATGATTCTTGATAAAAGTTCGAAAATTGTCCTTCAAAGTATTCCTCCATCAACATACCAACATCAAATGCGGAAATTTAAAAGCATGTGATTAGTTTTGCCTGCCTTCCTACATTTAGTGTTCATCATAAGACTTCATCTAAACAACCATATAAATTGAATAGTTTGAGCAAATTGACACATAAATGTATCAAACCAAGTACAAAGTCATCCACTATCAGTAAGATATAAGTTCTTAGTTCTCTCAATGATACCCTTTCCTCTGTTAATTATTTTACCTTTTCAAGCTAAAAATTAAAGATAAGAGAATATGCCTGTTAATTATTTTACATTTTCAAGCTAAAAATTAAAGATAAGAGAATATGCCAAATTCAAGACACCAAGCCCGAACCTTTCCATCCTAGAAATGCAAAATAAAATGAAACTATGCGCTCTTAAAGCAACCTAATGAACAATTTAGTAGACTCTTTACACACTTGGCTGTGCATGATGCCGTGACATAAACCAAATACTAATGACCTATTGGTTTGAGTGGAAGGTGTTTGGTTTCCTTCAGCAAAGTTTTGAGTTTTAAGTCTTATGATTAAAAAAACAAGCGTTGGCTAGGAGAGCTTCCCCTTTATGGGTATAATGCGGCTAATTTTAGATTAGTTGAAACCCAATGTGATTTCAAGAAAGTGGGGGTTAATAGCCAAGAAAAAAAAAAGAAGAAAAGACATAAACCAAATAGTCACCATTCACCAACTCGCAATCGTCTACAAGTCACAGGATCAACCACCTTATAAGTTATAATACTTCCTAAAACAAAGAAGCATCTAAAAGAGTACCTATCCATAGCCTCCTATAACCCCACAATCATACACACTCATAAAGTTTAAAACTAAACCAACAAACATGAAACAAAGGGATAATATTTGCAGCTAAAAAAGATTCCATTCTTAAAAAGGCGTAGGGGGAAAAGAAGGAAAGCATCAAACTCATTGTGCAAATTCGTGAAAATTAAGCAACCTCATATTTTAGTAAACCATCTTAAAAGAGCATTCACATTGCCGAAAGAACTCAAGGACCACCTTCCTGACATGTCGCCTTCTTCAAAAAGACACAAAACATTCCACAAGAGAAACTAAAACCAAGAACAAAAAGCAGAGCAAACACAGAGTATACCTCAACATTTCCGAAAGGGCATTTACCTTTTGTACAGTTCCCTAAACAAGCCACCCTAGAGCCTCTTTCTAAACAATCCATCAGCACACTGACACCCCTCCCAGAGCTCAAGCCCACCAGTTACAATTCCTGGGACGAACACTACCGGGTGCTTCACCGTCAGGCCCTCATTGCTGAATTTCACACTAGGCAGGTCTGGCAGCCAGTCCTTTATAGCCTCCATCACAAATTGAGGGATCGAAGCCGACCTTGTGGTGAACAAGAACAACAAGAACCACCATATACAGCATACGAATCCCATGAACCAGAAATAGCCATCGAGGCAAGAGCATCTCTTGGCCTTGCTTTTCTTGTTAATGGCAGCAATGTGGTCTCCTGTTTGCTTTCCTTTACTCTTCCCATTTTTCTCATCTTCATCTTCGGTGTGTGAATCTTTGCTTGGTGTTTTTGAGGAGGCAATTCCCATCCTCTGGTGCAGAAAAGACATTTGTTAGATCAGAACTTGGGATCTATAAACAACGTTGAAAGGGCTTGACTTTTCATGAATGTAGAATAAAAGCTAAAGTACGGAGTCTAAAACAATCATTAGAACCTTTATCGGAGATCTAAGCACCGGTAACTGATGATATTATTTACGTACTGAGAGAATCATCAATGAGTAAGAGGTGTAAGCATATGATTGGCTCTTGCTAGGAAACTAAGAGGAGAAAGATCTACCATGTGGGTTCCATGCTCGGTAAAGACACGTTGCGTGAGCGGGTAGGTTATAGGGAGGAGGCTTTCGCGGGTTGTAAAGTTAAACTGACATGATGACTTCTACCAAAAAAAAGAAAGAAGACCCGATGATGATGGGCAGGAGGAGGGTGCGTTGTCGGCCAGGTGGTGTGTGGTTGTGGAGGATTGTTCTGGTGGTAGCAAAAGGTGTTGCTGGTAAGAGCCACAACCACGAGTACCAAGAACTTAGTAAGTAGTAATCGTGGGGATGCTTGCATTTATGATTAACATATGAAAAATTCAAAATGGAAATGCCACAGAGAAGGACTGGAAAAGGACTGTTTGTTGTGGACAATAATGCTCACGATAGTAAAGTTATTCAATTTAGTTGTATGAGGAGTGGTTGTATTGGGCTTGGGCACCCCATTAGGCTGCCCCTTTTTTTTTTTTTTTTGAAGCGTTTAGGGCGATTTTTGGTCGGCAAAAGGTCATGTACATTTAACATTTTTTTACTTGCATACAACAAATAGGATTTATATTACAATTTACAGTGCCAGCACTGGAAGCCAAATGAATGATGTAAATTGATTCTTTAATTTTATAGAAAACTGTTGAATTATATGTAATCTATCTTGTAAAATTATTTTAATATTTTTTAATGAAATAATATAAAAATAAAATTAAAGAAATTTTATAAGGTGGGTTATGTAAAAGGTTAAACCCCCATTTTTTGTCCCTCAATTATTGTACAGGCTCCTGATTTAGTCCCTCAACTCAAAAAATCCTTGATTTGGTCCCCAATATTTACCATTTTAACCCCGATTTGATCTCTCGGTTAAAAATCCGCTTACATTTCCCATTAATTAATGAAAAATAATGATATGTAAAAATGTTTTAACATGTAGGATTGACAGCATGGCATATAAAACTTACACGTAATTTTCAATAAAAATTAAAATATCCAAAATTAATTGTAAAACTAAAATTACTTTTTTACCCTCATCTTCAATCACACATCACTTTCTTTCCATTTTCTTTTCGTTACCCCTTCATTTTCATCTCTAGCATTCATCTTTTTCCCCCAGATCCTTGTTCGTTGGCCTTAGGGGCTTTGGGTTTGATTGATGCCTACTGGGTTCGATCGATGAACCCAACAGGAACCTAACGGCACGAGCTTGTTGGGTTCGATCGATGAACCCAGTGGTGCCTACTGGGTTCATCAATTGAACCCAAGAGCGCCTTTTGGGTTCATTGATTGAACCTAGCAAGGACCTAGCAACGTTGCTGGGTTCAATCGATGAACTCAACAGGCGCTCCTGGGTTTGATCGATGAACCCAACAGCGCCGCTAGGTTCATCGAACTCCTGGGTTCGATCGCAGGTGCCGTTGGGTTCATCGATCGAACCCAGGAGTGCTTGTTGGGTTCATCCTTGTTGGGTTCATCAATCGAACCCAACAGGCACTATTAGGTTCGATTGAAGAACCCTTGATGGGTTTGATTGAAGAATGTTGGGTTTGATTGATGTACCCTTGTTGGGTTTGATTGAAGAATGCTAGATTCGATTGAAGAACTGTGGTTGGGTTTAATTGAAGATACCTTGATTTTTTTGGGTTTTTTAGAAGGCTAAGAGGGCATTTAATGGGGGTTTAAACTACTTGCTGGGTTCCCTTTGTTATGTGAATATCGTGTGAAGGGGAAGGTCGATTTTGGGTGTGAGGAAATCCAGATTTAAGAGGCAATCCAAATCTAAGTTCCTTCTACATCCACATTTGTATTTAGGTTTTATTTTTCAAATCTTGATTGCTGCAATTTTGGGTATGAAAGCATTAAAATTTGAATGATAAGAATTGGAATTGCAAATCTAGGTATTTATTTTGGGTACTTATTTGATTTTACAGAATTGCAAAGCATTAAATTTAAATTTTGGAATCAAATAAATTTGGGTATTTCTTTGATTTTTTTTACTTTAATTTGAATTTAAAATGGAAAGTGAAACCCAGATCCAGGTTCTTTCTGAACCCAAGTGTGTTAGGTTCAATCGAATCCAGTGTGTGTTGGGTTCAATTGAACCCAGGCATGCTCGGTTTAGAAGGTTTTAGAGTTTGTAGAAGGCGAAAGGAAAGGAAGAGGAAGAAGAAAGGGAAAAAGGAAAAACAAAAGAATAAAGAAAAAAAAAGAAAAAAGAAAAAGAAAAAGGAATTTTTTAATTATTTTTGCCACATCATTGTTTTTGCCACACTGTAGATCCTATGTGTCAAAAAATTTTTACGTGTCATGTTTCTCTCTGTCAAGTAATCGGACACGTAGGAGGAATTTTGACGGAGGAACCAAGTTAATGGTAGACAGTAAGGACTAAGTCAGGGAATTTTTGACTTGAGGGACTAAATCAAAAGTTCGTACAATAGTTGAGGGACCAAATTAAAGGTTTAACCTAGGTAAAATAATTTTCCCTTCTTTTTATATGGACTAGTGTAAACTATAACTGATATAGATAGGGTTAGTTGTATTACTGAAAAAACCGCATAACCAAAACAAATCAAATTTTTTTAGTTTGGTTAAATGTTTAAACAATTAATTCTATTTTAAACTAAGTTTAACCAAAATTTTGGTTTGGCTATGATTATTAACACTAAATTTGTAAAACCAAAACGCACTTCTAATTTAACCAAATCAGTATAAAAAATTTGGTTTAATTGAAAAACTCAAATCAAAACGAAATTTTTAAATACAAAAATGAAAATTTAATTGGAAATTTTAATAGAATTCAAAATTTTGGTTAAAATTGAATTGGACCAAAAAAATTAGTTCAAGCGTGGTTTTCAAGATGGATAGCCAAAATAAAAAAAAATTATTAGCTGAAAATTTTCAGTTAATTAAAGTTACCAACTAAACCAACGCCAAGCCCTATCTACACATGTACAATAATTATAAAAAAGACAAAGATATATACATCCTATACAGTTACACACTCTGTTACATATTAATAAAAACTATTAGTGTGTAACGGAAATCATCAATTTTAACGACACAAGTAACGAAAAAAATTAATTTTAACGGTACAAGTGACAAAAATTATCAACTTTAATGATATAAATAACAAAAACCGTTAGTGTGTAACAGAGTATGTAACATAATGTGTAACTTTACATGGTGTACCACTCATTTTCCTTTTCAAAACAATACTTTGTACAATGTAATCAGATATTGAAGTAGAAAATTGTAGTTATACATTAAAGGTAAAATTAAGTTGCACTTCACAACTTATTGCCATTGGTTAAGTGCACCCTCGTCTTAGCTTTTGTTTGAGAAAATGTATAAATAAACATATTAATTTTTTTAAAATCTAAATATGAATGTCAATTTTTAATTTTTTTATTTAAAAATTATTAAATAATAATATTAATGTGACAAACACAACTTTTTAAAAAAATTAACATTATTAAATAAAAAAAATTAAAAATTAATATTTTTAAATAAAAAATAAAAAATTAACATCCTTATCTATAATTTTCCGTTTTTGCTTGGTTGGAAACTTTCTAGTACTTATATACGTCTTCAAGATTAAAAAAGAGCAAAAGCAAAAACTAAGATAATTAATTAAATTAATATAGCTAGCTGGACTTAAAGAATTTTTAATCGGCTTCTTAATTAGTTGCGCTTTACAAGAATTTAACAGATAATTAACGCAATTTATTAATGAGCTACTTTCATTCGTCCATCAAACAAATTAAAGCAGAAAAAGATATAAATCCCTACATACAATCCCACCACCTCACACAAGTACAGCAAATTGAATCCAATCTTGAAACAGAAACACAGCAGAAACCCAAACAAATTTCCTGACTTGAAAACCAGCATCAATTGCACCTTGAGCAGAATCTTAACGTGGAAGGAGAAAAGAGCGAGATTCATCGAGCCGGCGGCGAGATGAGGAACGGAGGAGATCAACTTCTTGAGGCCGAATGTCATAGTATTTGATTTTGATATCATGTGTAAAAACATTCCTTAGCTTGTCCACTAATTCAGATCTCCTCTCGCTCATCGTCTCCTCATGGTCCTTAAGGTTTATGTTGCAACAAGAAACACACAGAACCATTTTCATCTTCCCGTCTTCAATTTCCTTGTGCACAATTCGAAATTCTGGGAGCCATGACTTAGGATCATTTTCCAAGAACCTGAAATTTACAAGTGGAACTTTTATCGAACATATATAATATGAATCGATTGAATAATGATTGGTATATACTGAGCTAAAACAAGTATTAAAAAGTATATTTTGAGTTGAGTGTGTATCAATCATTTATAGATTATTATATATCATCAATCAAAAGTCAAAACTTAGGAGAACTTACGATGAAATTAATCCATTCTTTTCCTCCCGTTTCAGCATCAATCCATCAACAATTTTGAGAGTACGTTTATATATGACATCACCTTCCATATATAATATAAAAGCAAGAGGGAAAGTGAAAAGGCAAGAATTTACATACACTTTTATTTGAGACTTCAGATTTTCAACTTGCTCGTTTGTAATGGAATTGTCAATAGAAAACTCGACGGAATAATCCATGTCAACCACACCCCTGTAACAGTTTTTGATGGGCAAAGTAGTTAAAACTGAATTTGGATAGAATATCTTATCCTTTCCATTTTTGCAGAAGACTGTTGTGAGAAGAGTAATGCCTTCGACAATCATCTGCAAAGGCAAAGTAGTTTCTGTCTTTAATATATATCATGTGAGTATATATATATATATGACATTGCTGAAAATTAAGATGCTTAAGAAAGATTTATTAAGTGTATTTGAACAATTTTACTTGGATGAAGGGAGAAAAAAAAGGCTAACTTCTGTATTGATATTAGAGGATTAAGGGATTACCTCTTCTCCGTTAATGAAACAGTGATCTTCAATGTCAAACGGGTGGAATCTTTGCTCGGTGTTTTTGAGGAAGCAGTTGCCTTCTTCCTGCGCAAAAAAGACATTTGTCAGATCAGAACTTAGGATTTATAAACAACGCTGAAAGGACTTGACTTTTCATGAATGGAGAATAAATGCTGAAGTACAGAGTCTGAAACAATCATTAAAACGTTCGTCGGTGAGTAAGAGGTCTAAGCATATGATTGGCTCTTGCTAGGACTCTGGGAGGAGAAAGATCTATTTTGTGGGTCCCACAGTCGTAAAGACACGTGGCATGAGTGGGTAGGTTATAGGCGTAGGGAGGAGGCTTTCGCAGTTTCTAACGTTGAACATGATGACTTCTACCAAAATAAATGAATACCCAGCGATGATGGGCAAGAGCAGGGTGCGTTGTCGGGTTAGTGTCGAGGAGGCGGAAAGGCGGAGTGTGGTTTTGGAGGACTGTTCTGGTGGTAGCGAAAGGTGCTGCAGGTAAGAGATACAACCACGACTACTAGGTAGTAACCGTGGGGATGCT